TATTCCAGCAAAGCATGAATTTGAAGAAAGAGTTACTGGAGCGACGGAAAAAGGTGGAAGAAGAGACTTAAAATGGTTATCCAGGTTTAGGCTTCTTTGTCCTGATTCCTTGGGGCTGTTTGGATTTTCCATTTTGGCCATTCTCTGATACAAACTCTAGGACCCTCCTATCCATCTTAGCACTTGGCTTGAGGGGCCTGACTTGATTATTAGTATTCTTTTCTATCTAGAAATATTGATGTATTGCTTCAACTGCCACTTCAATTAGTATTCACTTGCTTGTTTGGTTTTTGGATACCATCCTCATTAGTTGCTCTAGTCGTGAATGATCTTTTCTTCCATACTGAATGGAATGAAAGTTACCAGTTGGTCGCATTGATGGAATGTCACTCATAAGTACCCTTCAAGTATTTTAGCAGCCCTTTATTTTTCTTCCTTTTTTGTTCTGATTTGTTGTCTTTTAGGATCTGAAATGTCCATCTCTATTATCAAGTAGCTATGACGTGGAATTGAGCACCTTAGTGTCTCTGAGTTTTTTTTTTTTTAAACATCTGAAAATTCCCTTATCAAATTTCTGGACCCCTCCAATCCTCATATGCTATATAAAAGGAAAAGAGCAGGAAAATCACTTGGCCTCCGGATCCTGTGAGGAGGAGATGTACTTGCTGAAGGTTTGGTTAGGATTCCCATCTTTTTAGCTATCACATGGTGCGCCCTTGATGAAGAAATTCTAGAAGATTTAAAGAAATTCTATAAATCTATAGCACGTTCTTGATTATTCTGGTATTGATTATAACAGTTCAGAAATACTGGTCAATCTGTCTTGCATCACTGGCAACTTGGTAAGTACATGATGTATTTTGGGTCATTACTATTGTTCTTAAATCCTTTGAAGGAACTGATTTGCATTGTTTCTCATTTTTGACCTGCAAAAAGAATTCCTGCTGCCCTCTTGAGTTGGATTTATAATGTCTCAGCATTTGTTTGATCATTCTTGTAGGGGAAGAAATATTCAGGGTATCATGTCTCCAACTTCCTGGATTACTATTCCTGGCACTTTGTTTCCTTGTTTGTTTTATGTATTTTTTTTTCCTGAAACCAGAAACAGCAGTCAAGTTTTAGTAAAGGCTTGATCTCTTATCTTCGTAGGAAACTTTCCTTAATTATCATACATTTAGAATAGGGGATAATTATTAACATGTATGCTTCTGTTTTTAGTGTCATTGTAACACATTTTTTCCTTGTATTGCTGATCAACTAAGTTTTTTTGTTCTTTTTCTTTTTTAGGCAATAAATAGTTACTCAAGGGCCAATTGCATTAAACCAGTTGATCCTATTATTCTCAGCAACAGAAGTACTACTTATATCAGGTTAACTTTTTTAATAAAATTATATGTTATTGTCATATTTGTTGATTGGTTCTCTAAAATTGTTTCTGCTCAATTGTATGTTTCATCATCTTCTGAGTGGTTTAAAAATAACTGTCAATCACAATTGAGTAACTGTTGCACTGGTGACTTGTTTGTATCGTCAGGATTAGTCAATTTTTGAAGCAAAGAACAGCATCAGCTTCTGAATATCAACCGTTGAATGGGCTTGATATGACAACTCTTGCTGAAGTATGCCTGTGTTTTCATTTATTACTTCGTTCACAATAAAAGCTGGTATTAAATTTTATTCCATATATCATTCTAAGGAGGGGAAGTTTTTCAGCTTGCCTTGAAAGATGCGGAGAAGGTAATGAGCCTCCAGAATAATTCAATAAAGTCATACATCCTAAAGGCCAGTGCTCTCATTTTGGTAAGAGACAGTGGCTAATTTTCTTTTCTTTCTCAAGATGTGTTCTGCAAATTCAGCCCATTCCCACTTTCTCATTATTTCACTTGTGTTGCATTTTAGCATTTGATGTGCTTTTGGATGCTGGCTACCTGTTTGTACTTTTGCTGCCTCTATCCGTCAATTCTTAATCTTGTTTGTTCAACAGTTGGAGAAATATGAGATGGCTCGGAATGTGATT